GGAACTTTCCACTAATGTACATTATGAACTAGTCAGAATTTGAGATAATTAATTCTGCCATGGGCTTTATTTTAGTGGGAGGGCACAATCCTGAATATATTCCCTGGACAAAGGGCACAGAATGTCTCTAAGGTTACTTTGGAACATATCAAACTTCACTGACCAGGCCCTCAACCCACCTGGCACTGAAAGACCTTTCAGACCACTTGGGACCCCTATATATCAACAAAATACTGTTTGGGTATGAAATCTTTCCTCTGTAAGGCAGAAAACAATTCTTTGAGCAAAACATTTTGGTAAAACTGCCATTTTTCATGCTAAGATTTCTCAGGTTTTCAAGGTTAAGAGCCATTTGATGTGACTTAGCTAGGCCTACTTGGAAGAAAATAAGAGTTTTGTTTTAAGGCTCTATTCTTGTTGAATTTGATAGCTTCAAATAATCTAGTCTTACAGTGCTGGAGTTATATTCTTAGCAGAAATGCCCGTTTTTTCTTTCCATATATTAGCAGAATATTATAAATGGATTAGCTCTCCATTATATAGCTGGAACATATTATAAATTTTCTTTTTTTTCAGTGTCTTATATTTGAATGCCATTTGTTTCCTACAAAATCATCCTCTTCCCTTAAGTGCTTACTGCTGAAAATCACTCAGCATTTCAGCTACCTGCTTTTAAAAGGTTCTTCAAAATGATAACAAACGTGTATGTGTGTACACACACACACACACACACTCTCTCTCTCCCCCTCTAAATGTGGTGGAATGTTAACAAGGGCTTTGAAGACCAAAAAAATAGGTTAAGAGAATATGAAACTTTTTGGAAATCTAAAATGAGCAAGTTTTTTTTTAATACCATCAACTGCCTCGTGCACTATGCATATACTTTCATAAATCTCTAACAAAATTACTTTTGCATCTTCTAAAAACTTAGCTTTGAATTGTAGGAGAAATAAATAAACTGCATGTTAAACAATGCCTGTGGAAAGAGTCAAATACATATGACATACCTTGGACTACCTGGGTCATGAAGTTCATCAGTCCCACAGCTGGTCTCATTGAGACCAGGGCAGGAGTTATGCACGGCATAGACAGACATGCTGGGATGTTCGATGAGAAGGTTCTCCATAGGACTGGTTTCCACCTTGATAGTGGTTAATCCACCTGCAGTGAAACATGGGGGAGGAGTGATAAACCAGCTCTCCTCCATCGGACAGGATTCAAACTGGAGGAAGCAGGAATCATTTGTATCAGCCAAGCACTCAAGGGATGCAGGTAAACAGGAAAAGACTGAAGGATGCTTGGTAGGTGACTCTTCACTGATGTCTTCTTCCTCATCTGCTGCTGCTGACAAACCAGTGCAAGTTTCTAGATCGGAGTCCACGTGTGTTGCTGAAGTCCCACAGGAGGATGAATGTCACAGTGAAATCACATCAAAGCCCAGAAAAAGAAGAGAGATGCTATTAGCTGATGCCCACATTCTTTCATTTAGGTCAGAAACACCCATTTATATTCACTCATACTGAGTATAAAATAATTTCTGAGCACTGTGTGCCTGTGTGATGTATCACTGTATGGGATGGATTATTCTGGCTTCGTGGAAAGGTTTTTAGACTGCTTCTGTTCTACTGAGTAAAGATACAACAAGCCATATGTTACTGCTTGCCTAGCCTAAGGATTTTCTATTAATGTGCCCCAGATTCGATCAGGATGTAAGAGCTGCAAAACTGGGAAGTCTGACAGCAATCAATTTCATGGGCTGATCACCTGCCACCGGATGTTTCCTGCAATTTTTTTGAATACAAATTCTTGTTTATTTACTTTTAAGGCTGAAAAACCTTTAAAGTTACTGATTTACTTATGGAAAAACTGAGATGTGAGTGTTTGCATTTTTCCTGTGATGATTAACAGTGGAGGATACCTTACCTATAAAATCAACAAGGATCCATTCATCGTCTTCTTTCTCACTGAATTCTGGTTCTTGGTTAGAAGAAGTGTTGGTTTCACCCACAAACATTTTATTCAATCTCTGGAACATTTTTAAGGCAAGATTGAGACTTTGGCTGGATGTCTTTATAGCTGAGATTTCAAAACCCTGTCTTCAGTCAGCCTGACACACTGACAGGAGAGTAAAGTGCACAAGGTGCTTATTCAACTTAGGTGAGAACAGTCATTATCCCTAAAACAAAACAGAAAAATAAGGTTATTTCAAGTCAGCATATCTTTACATAATATGTGTGTGTGGTTTTAAAAGTGTGCACACGCATGCACACACACATACATCTCCCCCTAGAAGAAATCACAGGCCTTAGTCTTCTGTTACAGCTTTTCCTTTTCTGCAGGGGCCAAATGTAAGAACTGCAATATCTATTATTTACAAAACATAAAGGACTACTGAAACACAACTTGTAAATATCTTAAAATGTGAAATAAAAAGGAAGGAGTTGGCATAGATACAGAGAACAGGCTGATGGTTGCCAAAGGGGAGAGGGATTGGAGGACTGGGTGAAAAAGGCGAAGAGACTAAAAAGTACAAATTGGTAGTCACATAGTCGTCACGGGGACATAAAGTACAGCATAAGGAATACAGTCAATAATATTGTAATATCTGTAGGGTACCAGGTGGGTACTGGAAATAGCTGGAGGACCACTTTGTCAAGTATGACTACTACACTGTACACCTGAAACTTGTATTATAATATTGTCAACTGTAATTGAAAACATTTTAAAAAACTGAATGTGGGGTCAGTGATTACAGAATTTATTTTCACAACTCAGTTCAGGCTGTACCCCTGGCCTGGAGTTTCCATGGCCCCTCTCACTCAGACTCATCCTGGTATGGAAGAGCTCCTTGAGGGCAGGGACCCTGCCATTGATTTTAGTTGCCTCAGCACTTAGCATCAAATCCAAAATAGAAATTCAGCTGTTCAACTATTAATACCAAACTATGACAAGCCATATGAATTAGGAACTATTTCGTTTTTAAAAGCTTTTATTTATTTTTAGAGATAGGGGAAGGGACAAAGAGAGAGAAAGAAACAAGTGACAGATACATAGATCGGTTGCCTCTGGTATGTGCCCTGACCACACACCTATAACCCAGGCACATGCTCTGACTGGGAATTGAACCAGCGACCTTCCGTTTGGCAGGCTGATGCTCAATCCACAGAACCACACCAGCCAGGGCAGGAACTATTTCTTTTAAATAAAGTTATAATTCATTCTAGAATTCATATTTTTGAAAATATAAAGCATTGTGAATAACATTATTGGAGAACTACAAAAAAGAGGAAGGAGTTGGTTTTTCACATCTGTGCTTTTACAGTAAGGGATAAATTTGAATAAAATTCATAAATTTAAATAATTTCAGGCTGCAGTATTGCTTTTCTGTAAGTAGAGGAGTAAAAACTAGATACTAACAGTCTTTCTGTATAATAGTCAATGGCCAGAAGCTGCCAAATGAACCCAGCAGTAGTACCCAGTGACCACCCTGTGCCAGGCATCTATCCTTCTCCGGCTCATTTTCTTTTGTGCTCTGTACTGCTTGTATGCGACAACAAGCATGCCTAATTACTTTTATAATCTGTAAGGACAGCATACTTTGACCTTCAAAACAATTCCTTCAGCTACCATGGAAAAACATACACTGTAGCACATTGTAGTGGACAGCAACTAGAACTGGAACCAACCATTCAGTTGGTTAGAAGAAGTGTTGGTTTCAGCCACAAACACCACTGCGTAGTGGTCAGTGTGCCTGGGTTCAGTGCTGGCTCTGCTGCTCCTGCCCTCAGTGAGTTGCGAAGTTACACTGTTTCAGCTGGCCGTAGTTCTACCTCATGGAGTTCTGGTGAGTTCAAAATGAGGAACTACACATTTCTGATCCTATTGCAGAGTTCCAGATGTATATATTCATAACCTCCTGGTTACCTGACAGGCATATCAAACCTAACACATATCAAAAGGAAATTAATTTTTCCTCACAAACTTATGCGCTGTCCTTCATCCCTTCTCAGTAAGGAGCAGCAGCAGCACCCAGCAGTTATTCAGGCCCCAAACCTAGCAGTTACCCTTGGCATCTTCTAAGCCCCACCCCTCCTCCAAACTCAGCAAGTCCCCTTGACTCTAGGTGCATGTGTGGCTTGACTCCACTTCCTTCCCTCCACCACTCTCATCCTAGTTGAAGCCAACCTTCCGGTGTCTCTCCAGATTCTGTCAGTTACCACCTCCTAGACGGTCTCCCTGATTCTACTCTTGTAAAATGAGGTAAGGCAGGCAACTTGCTTGGCAAGGCATTTGGCACACAGTTCTCAGTCAGTGTCAACTATTATTCTACAAATATTTATCAAGCACCTATTATGCATTAGGTGTAGTGCTAAGTGCAGGGAAGAAGGCAAAATAAAGTCCTCCCATGGCAAGTGTAACAACCCATGTGCTATGTGCCCTGGAAGACGTACTGGGAGTCCTTCAGACCTATGCAGGTGGAGGTCAGGGAAGATAAATGACTTTGATCTTGAGTGGTTGGGAAGATCAAGAATGAAAGGGGAGAAGGAACACTGTGGAAACCTGAAATTGAGAATGAGGCATCTGCAGTACAGCTCAAGATTCAGATGGACAGTTGTGAGAGCAGGCAGGGGCAGAAGTTAAGGGGAGGGAAAAGTCAAGGATGACCCAGGCTTATGGCCTGACCAACTGGGAGGATGGTGAGACTTTGTAATGGAATAGGAATACTGCAGGAGGTGTGGTTTGAGTATTTTAGAGAGGCTGAATTTGGGAAATCTGCAAGTCATGTACCTGGAGATGTCTAGTAGATGGCAGAATATAGGGCTTTGGAGTTCAGGGGCAAAGACTTGGGAGCTGTCAACACAAAGTGGGGGATGGAAACTATAGGAGTGGATGAGACCATCCAGAGATGATGAAAAGTGCTGCACTAAATGACATGTTGTTTTCTTTGCGAGCGTGAGGCTTTAATCCATCACTTCAGCCTTTTTTTTTTTTTTTTAAGAATCAGGAACAATCAGGGTATTGCAAGTCCTGATTACGCAGAAACGCTAATCACAAGTCATGTGAACTTCAATTGTGTTTCAATCGGCCCTCCAAAAGGAGGAATAGATAAGGATTATCCTACCTGATGATAGATCTTCAGCCTTTTGACAATTTCACTTTCAAAACAATTATCTTCAGATGTAAATGTAGTTACAATCTGTAACTGATTAGATTCCTGGTTCAATTCTTTATGTGCAAATTAGATTCCAGTTGTTTGGCATGTACAGCTGTGAAGTACTACGAATGTGTCTTTGTATCAATGACATTTGAATACTTTTGTGGTCATAATCTGTCACCCTTGGCCATTAAATATTAAAGGTGGGTAAACAGGAAGTATCACTTGCATAACCAGTCTTCCTGCAACATGGCCAAATCATGAAGGTTGGAGATCTAGTAGAAGAACTCAAATTCAGCTTTATGTTCCATGTAAGAAAAGTTAGAAGAGAGGTGGGCTATGTAGTTTGCTTGACCAACTGTGGTGTGACACATGTCCCAAAAGAACTATCACAGGGTTTCATATAGAGGTTTTGAATATATAAGCTAGAACGGGAAATAAAGATATTTTCAAAATCTTTTCCTCGTTTCTCTTAAACTGTGAAGGCAGATACTGGCCCCTGTATATTTCTGTGTCTGCTGAACCAGTTGAGAGATTAATCCCAGTTCTCCAGAGCACTGGGCTGGACGCAAGCTCTGCACCAGAGAGGAAGCTGGCTATGTGGGAGGAGGGAAGGGAAAGAACATACCCCACAGGGGGACCCTTGCTCTTCCTAAATGAGCACCTTGTTCCCCAACTGTGATGCCACGTGGGGCCCAGAACAGATTAGTGGCAGCTACAAGGCAGAAAATGTTGCTGGGGCCACTGTAGTTGGGCAGCTATGGGTTCCAACAGCAGCCTGCCTCCTCTGGCTACATCTCTAAGCCCCGTTGAGGACAGCCGCTTTTCCTGGCACATACACCACTCCGCCACAGGAAAGGTGTCTCCACTGGGGCTTTCTGTGGGGCAGCGCAAGTCAATCTTTTGGTTTCCTGCAATCAGAGGCTTCTCCAGATGTCCCATGCCTCCTGCAAGGGCAACCAACCTTGGGCACCGGGTTCAGGAGTCCAGGCAGGAGAGAGAAGAGCTCCTTATCATCTTTCCAAGTCACTGTTGGTATTTATGTAACACACCTGCTGAAGGCCAGTGGGAAGGATACAGAATGGAGTCTTGCCTATCCTGCCAGTGACCCAGGGGCTTTCCCTACCCAGTCACTGCTACTCTTGACCTTGGCTCTTGCGAAGGAACAGAGGCTCTCCACTGGGCGGGTTCTACGTGGAGCTAAAGGGCAAGGCAGAACAGACCTCACTCCCTGCTGCATGTCCCTGACTTTTTGATATCCACAACTCTAGGGCAATGATAAAACTAAAGTGGAAATTTACAAATACAGCTCAGAATTTAGTATAGGGGTAGAGGCAAAGAAGCCCAGGTGCGGTAGCGTTGCTTTTCTTTGGAGCACCTGCAAGCTTTCAGCCTTAACCAACCTCAACTGAGCAGTCTCACGCCAGTGGTGAAACGAAACAAAGTGTCTGGGCCCCAGCATTTCAAGAAGGCAGCTTTGTCCCTGTAATCCTGGCTCAAAATACCTCCCTTTAAAAAATGTCTTTTTCATCATAAAACAAATGAAATTGCATTATAAAACATTTAGAAAATAGGTATTATTCCATATCTTGTTGCAACCATTGTTAGTACATTGTACATTTTCCTTTTTTCTACAAGTTTTTTTTTAAATCATTAACTGTAGACTAGTGAATGTAGTTTTGTATCCTGCTTTGTTACTTAATATTTTATTATCAATGTTTTGCATATTATTACATGAGTAGAAATGCTTTGTGAGCAGAGAAAGGCAGCTGAGTCAATACTTTCGGGGGAAAGCATTCTTCATAGTTTGAGAACTTAGAAAAGGAGTTGCTAGTCTGGAAGAGCTTGTTAGCATCTCCTTTTGGGGACAGCACCAGCCTACAGGTAGTATGGCTCTGGAATTAGCCTGCTGTGTTTGAAAGCTTGGCTCTGCTACTGGCATCTTGTTTGAACTTAAGATATTTAGTAACTTCTTGGACTTGGTTTTCTTACCCCTAACATGGGGATGGTGGTGCCAACATGAATATTAAGTATATATCACTTAAAATAGCTCCTGGCACATGGCAGGTAAATATTAACCACAAGTTCATTCCAAAGCACTTGTTGACTGTGAGCAAGTAATTTAGCATCTTTGGGTCTGAGTGTCTTTACCTGCAAAATGTTTATATAATTAGAGCAACAATTTACTAAATGCTTATTGTATGAGACAGGGACTTGAGGTACTTATTTGTCCCATTGTACTAATGAGGAAATTGAGACTCAGAAATTAAGTAAGTTGTTCAAAAGTGATCGAGCCGCTCGGGGTGTAGCTGGCATTAGAGCCTAAGTCTTCTGGTTCCAAGTGCAGTGCTTTTCCTTGCACACGATCTCTCCTTCTACCCTCAACTGTGGCTCTATGAACTTCAGAGAACAGCACTTTTTCAGTTGGTGTTGGCTGCCAGTAGGCGGCTCCAAAAACAACATTAAAAAATAAAAATCCAACAACTTTGATGATCTAACTTCATGTACACTTGTGGCTTCTTGACAGTTTCGAAATACCAGGTGGCTCAACAAACCACATCTTCATTGAAAAGCAGCCTCAAAATTATCTCTTTATATCCCTCCCCCCTCACTTGTTTAGAAAAAATAAACATGCTGATTTGAGTCATTTAAAATCTATTTTAAACTGCAGAAAAACCAAGCAAGAAACTTGTCTTTGCCTGTTCCACTTGGACCCTTACTCAACTAGCTACAAGAGGTTTACTCTCCCAGGGACCTGCCAGTGTCAGCCCTGAGGCTGAATGACTAGACAAAGACAGCAATAGCTGGTAACTCATAGCCTGTTAACCTTGAATTTGGAAAGTACGCCATTCCCAAGAGAAATATAAGACAGCTCTCACAGAAAAGAACAAAAGATAGGATGAAAAAAACAAGAGACCTTGGTCATAGAAATTTGTAAGACCCTGATTCCAGGCAGGGGCCTGTGAAAATTATGCTGTAAGTTCAGAATTACAGTGGCTGCGACTTAAAATCAAAAGCTTCTCAAGCGTTTTTCATATCTGCAATGAAAAATGTATTTCAATTACCAAGCAAGTGATGTCAGGATCATGGAGCACCTCGTAACTTCTGTTTAAAGACCGCCACGGGTGACTCCCCCTACCCTTTTCCTAAAGCTACTTTGTATTCAGAAAAGGTTTCCTTTTAGCAATGTACACCCAAGTCCTTGGAAGTTACAGATGGAAAGGGGCTTTTCCTTAATCTACTCAATTTGGAATTAACGCAGAGGATAATAAGCAGATATAATTGGGAAATAACAATAAAAACGAGGAACTGTCACTTAAAATCACCTCCCTCTTTGAAAGAGAAAACGCCATGTCCTTTTAATGGGCTGTGTGGCCTTGTGTAAATGACTCAGTCTCTCTGGACCTCGGGCTTCCTAGTCATAAAATAATAATGTAAGGCACGCAGCATACTATATGGCGTATCGTAAGACCTCATCATGGATTACCCTTAAAATAAGGATTTTAATTATAATGGGCAAGTAAAGTGAGTGCTCTTTCTACAGGTGCAACCTCAAACAGCGATGTGTAAGATCCAGCGCGTAGGCTGCGGTCGCCGGGTTCCGGGAGCCGCAGGGCCCACGGTGCTTCCGAGCGCGACCCAGGACCAGGAGTCTAGCGGTCGGGGCGCGGGGCGTGCAGCCGCAGGCCGGGAAGGACGCGTCCCAGGGCGGGGGCCAGGAGCCCCCGGGCGGGTTGTCCCAGCACAATGCCCGAGTGCCGGAGGGGAGTAAGGAGGAGGAGGTCCCGCCGTGGCCAAGAAAACAGGCAGGCTCGGGGGAGGAGGCAGAAACCAAACACCCAACCGCCGCCCCGCGCCGGGGCTCAGCCCGGCCCAGGTCCGCGAGGCCGCCGCCGCTGCCGGCATCCGGGGCCGCGAGGCCCCCCGAGGGGGTGGGCGGCCCGGGGCGGCGCCGGGAGGGAACGGGAAGCCGGGGAACTCACGGGCGGCGGCTCGCGAGCCGGTCTGAGGGCACGGCGCGCGGGTCCGGGCAGCGCCGCCGGGGCGGCCGGGACGAGCGGACGCGGCCCCGGCCCCGCCCGCACTTACGTGGGCCGGACCTGCAGCGCGGACGGTGGCGAAGCAGCAGCGCCTCGCTCCGCGGGGACCGGCGGGCGCGGCGCGACGCGGGGCTGCTGAGGTAGCTGCGGGTCCCGGGACGGCGGGCGCAGGGCCGAGCCGGCCCTCCTATCGCTGCGCCGCTGGCCGCCGCCGGCCCCTCTCACTCCTTTTGTTGTTGTGCAGCGCTCGGAACAGCTGATCGGCCGCTCCGCCCGCCGTGGGCCCCGCCCCGGGGCCGCGCCAGACCTGGACCCACCAATCAGTGGCGCCGCGGCCTCGGGGCCACCCTGCGAGAGGTTGTCACTAACGCACGTGACCTGGCGCCGAGCCTCGCGACACTCTCAAGTTAGAAACAAGCCTGGGCAACAAAAGCCGGGCGCCGGGAGGATGTAAGGGGCGAGCGGAAGGGTGGGAGAGTGGGGGTTTGGTGGGACCGGCACTGGGTCGACGCGGGGACGGGAGAGAAGGGGCTGGGGGTACAGGAATGGGCACCCGCAGGAGTGTGAGAAAGAACGTGAACGGCGAGGGAAAGACCCCAGACCCCAGATACCAGCTGTTTTTTTAGCTAACAGTTTGTGGTACAAAGCGTCTCAAAACATTTTAAATTTTTTTTTTTTCTCCCTGCGAGAGGAAGATTGAGGACATTGAGAGCTGTGGAACCTAAAGGCCCCAAGAGTCCCATTCAGGTCAATGTAGGGTGAAAGTGTAGGCATGGAACTGTCGGGCATGTCTACTTCTTGGCCTTCTTGGATGTAAAGTGTGGGCTCCAGATATTGGGAATGCACGGTCACCCAACCTCCCTTTAAAGGTAGGGAGTCGGGCCCTCCCTTGCTGTGTTATGCTGTCTGAACTTGCCTACAGGCTCAGGATTCA